GATAGCATTTGTTTGGCACAGGTCGTTTCTGAACTCCGTAAAGAGAACTGCAACCGCCGCATCATCCTCCATCACGACAATGCGAGTTCTCACACCGCACACAGAACACAGACCATCCGCCGCACAGGCCCGAACTAAGCCCTAATGATTTCTATACTTTCTCTAAATTAAAGAATAAATTGCGTGGACAGAGATTTTCATCACCTGAAGAAGCTGTGGACGCACAAAACGGCCATTTTGGAGACCCCAACTTCCGAATGGAATGGTTGCTTCAATGATTGGTTCCATCGTATGGAAAAATGTGTCAAATTTCGCGGAGAATACTTCGAAAAGCAATAAATACATTTTTAAATAGTAATGTTGTGTCATTTCCTTGATTCCCGAAATTTTTAGTGCCGCCTTCGTATTCTCAACTTCAAAAGTTTATTAAACGTTGTTAATGTTTTTTTTGCCTGCTATGAAATCTGCATAACAAACAAAAAATGTGAATTTTTCTTCAGCTTTGTAATGTCTACAAGTTGCCAATATTCTTAATTTATTGTATAAATTTCATTACTAGAAGTAAAAAAAATACGTTGGATATTTAAATGTCAGATAAAACTTTAAATTCCGTGAAGCAAAACAACCTCACGTAGACGTTTAAGTTCTGGAAATTGGATTTAATTAATTTGTTGCACGCTTGTTCGCCACACAATAGGAGATACAAATGTCAAGCAGTCGACTATATGAAAAGGTGAAAATAAGGAGATACTTATTGTACTTATTAGTCCCGTGTCGTTGGCATTAACCCATTCCCTTCACGTTTTATCACATAGTTATTCTAGCCTGTGCTGCTTGCCCTACACTGTGAGTTAGTACAAAGCTGCGACATTATTATTCCCTATCAACTGTCGGTTCTTTGAGCTACAATGCCGGTCCATTGAAATTTCGGTATAGGCATCCGTAGGGCTATGCTAGTTACTCATTTGTTCTTGCTACAAGATAGCTTCACGTAGGGAAATTCCAAGCCTAGCTGTCTATATGCCCGCTATGTAGTTCTGATGCTCCGAAGTGAAAATACAAGTGAAATCTGCTTTCCTTTTTATTGTAATAGTGAATTAGGCAATTAAAAAAAAATTAAAATGTTTATCTGCAACAGATTTTTAAAACAGATATTTGTATATGTTTTAATGATTCGCGGCAGTTCAGTAAATTTCAAAGTACGCAAGTAGCCTGGGTTTGATACACTAACACACCCAACGCACCAACGTAAAATATAATTGTTAAAATAAAATATTATGTTAATTTAGCGAACACGTCGGCGGTGACAGAAAACATCGCAAGAAACTCTTTATTTGTATGAATGTATAGGATGGTAACTACCCAGAAAAAGTCCTCCATCGTGCTCGTAATCTATATTAAGCGCAAGTGCATGGACGAGTCACTCGACGTAGGTGCTCTCTTTCTTAGGGCTAGCCTACAGATTACACCACAAGGGAGATTTTGAAATAGTTGAAACCCTAAGGTTGACAACTGCAGTTTTTATCATTTTCAGCTATTATGAGCTCATCTCCTAGTTAATTTTCCTTCTACGCTTTTATTACATCCACGGGACTTTCCTTCGATGCTTTTTACTACTACATCACAGCAGATTTTCAGTTTACTTCATTCTATATTTTAATAAATTAATTCTTAGTGTACTAGTTTTAACCAATGTTGGCACGACCTTATTTTATCCCATCGAATGGGAAGCAGTCTTCTAGATAATATATGCGTCACAGGTCCCTCACATAAAATTATAATGCGATCATTTTAATAATAGTATGGATCCTCTAATTAAAGATGTAAAATCTTACGAAAGGACATAGGTTTTTGTATATATATTTTTATCTCTCTTTTATACCTTTTTTATTTATTTCGTCTTTCTCATAATTTATGAGGCAACACTACGACCTCATTTGGTTTATAATAAGTATATCCATCATAAGTGAAATATTTTTACTAATGCTAACAAAAGAGTAAACAACCCTTCTTGATATATTGCTACCTCCAACAATGAGCACTTAAAGCCGACTTTTAAGAAAAGCAATGCAGCCTTTATAAAACGTAATATAATGCTGCTAGGATGCAAAAAATGTATGAGATGGTACCTGTAGCCAGACAGACTCTTAAACGGAAAAGAAGCTTTACCGTCAGATAAATAACATATTAAATATTTACGACGAGATCTTGATAAAACTAATGTTAGCTTGGTGTACTGCTACACTAACCTGCCGAATTAAAAAAAAAACGTAAATACTTTTTAGCCATTGAAAAAACAATAACTGTTAGTGCTTCTAATATTGATACCAAAATACTGAAAGACTGACTGACAGCGTAAGCGATCATCAATGATTTCAAATTTTTTTAATAACAATACTCAGTTAATAAAACTGCTCGTCACGTCATAGGGGTTAATCAAGGTTGATGCAAAATACTCGATATTTCGGAAGTTACAAATAAGTAAAATTAAACTTGATAAAATTAGTGAAATTATAGACGTAGGTACTAATGATGTAAGTACTGTGGTCACATAACTTTATGTATTTAATGTATAAGTAATATATAGTACACGGTTGACCGAGCTTTGCTCGGTATTTTTCGCTCGGTTTTTTTTTAATTCGTGTGTTCTGGAAAATATATTTAGATACAAATAACATACTGATGAAATACGAATAATATTTTTTGATCTTAGCGACATAATAGAAAAAACTGAACTGGTTATTTGAATAAAAAATCATGAGTGCAATTTTAGTTTAATATAAATTTTCGTGTTTTTAAAAATACTAAAAAAAAAGGTATAGGATAATAATGTTCAGATCCGTGATTTCCAATATTTAATACCAGTTATGGTGTCAAGACCTAAATAATTATAGTGTAGACGAGTTGTATAGTTTACGTATTTAGTCATTTTTCTACTTCTTGTTTGTATTTTTACATGTATATTTATTTTATAATGTGTAATCCTAAAGGGAAACATTTTATAAATATATACAATTTACGTATAGTGTTTTAATAATGTGACTGTGAGTTTAAGCCAATTCCAGCTTCGTTGATCGAAGCAATTCCAGTTTAATTTTATATCCATGAAGAATATTCCCAACATGCACTTAAATAGTCCGCTTGGCTTATCCCTGGCCACCTTCTAAATTTTAACGCTAGTAGCACATGTTACTAATTGATGTGTCCACTGGGGAATGAAAACAGACCGATTAAAATCACCGATAGTTTCCGATATTTGTGGTCTTTAAATTGTTGTCTTTTTATTATAAAAATATGAAGCTATGAATAAAATTAGATTAAGTAGATTTTAACTTTAATAAGAGTTTAAAACAATCCAATAATTTGTAAATAAATTTTCACTCTGATTTTGGCAATTTTGTGTGTTCCCTTTTTAAATTAGCAAAACTACAAAAACTTAAAATTACCTCGCTGGATATTTTGTCACAAGTGTCTTTACCGCGACTATTTAATGTAGGTAAATCTAAATTGAGATTTATTCGAAAGATGGCAGTTATGTTTTTAATCTAAAGTTACGATACATTCCATTTTTGTTTTCTAGGCCTGGCAGATGTTATGGTGAGACTCGTTTTAACCCTAGATCACTAACCTTAAATCGGAGTAACACTATCACTAACCATTCGATTCACAGACTACGCAATGAAACGCAAATATTTTCAAAATCGTTGTTATTTATTTCATAAAAGAAACAAAAACTTGAAAGTTCTTTCTTTAAGGAATCAAACAAAACGATGAAAAATAAACAATATTAATTCTTACAACTATTACAAATAGGAACTGTGTGCTCTCCGTGTGGCCTTTTTGCAGTATGTACAACAATATTTTGTCATACGCCTTTTTTTTGCTGGGCAAAATCCACATATTTTTCTTGTTTTATGTAGCTCTTGTACACAGCTTTCTTGTGGCACTTCAATATTGAGAATATCTCCAATACTCTTTTTCACATCACGCTGCAAAGTCATCGTATTGTAGCGCTCGAGTGGCCAGGGTTTTATTAGTTCATCTGTCATTTGCAAGGTAAATTCTCTCCTCTTGAGCGGTTTCTTATGGCCTCGAATCATATTGCATACGTAAACAACATACGCGTTTATGATACTAATGTTTACAGTATCATAGAATAAGCATAGCGGCCACCTATTGGTTTTGCGACCAGTGCTCATGATAGAACACATTTGATCCACGGTATCTACAGCGCCCTTTGTAGAAGAAATGAATAATTTCCGGTTTCTTGGTAACATCATTGACAGTGGGTTGATCATGGGTGGTTGATAAAAGGTAAAAAATCTTGTTAGACTTGGGCTTGTATGAAACCATGGTCATCTCGTTATCGAAGCAAAACATTGAATTGCCCACTTGCCGTGCTCTAGAGATTTTTTTTGTCGCAATGTACCAACAACTGTCAATTTATACGGAGCCTGGAGCATATCGGAAGCAAGAGGAATGGATGTAAACCAATTGTCCATAGTTAAGTTTCGATTCGAACCATGTATGGGTTTGGTGATCTCCTTCACCAAATAGCTCGCAAGAGGTTCGGTTCCTGGATTAGTTCCCTTGCCTAAATATGGAATGGCATTGCATACATATTATGTGTTCGAGTCTGCCATCATAATAAGCTTAAGACCGTATTTATTTGGCTTATTGGGTATATACATCCTAAATGGACAACGTCCTCTGAACCCAACAAGCTGTTCGTCAATAGTTATGTATGAACTGGGCTTATACCATTTTATACAGTTGCTTATGAATGCCTCCCAAAATTGTCTGAATGGAGCAAGTTTGTCAGAGGCCCTTCGCTCTGTTCTTGTTGTCTTGTCGTCAAACCTAAGGCATCTCAGTAAGAAATCAAACCTATCAGCATTCATGCACGCTTTAAAAGTAATTGCACTTAGTTTGTGGTCAAATAGTGTTCTAGTGGGCAAGTGGTTACTTTTTATAGCCGCTGATTGTATCAAGAGACTCAGTCAAGTCGTCACTTCGTTAGTGGAAGTATGCGAGTTGGTATACTTCTCCAGTTTGTATTTAGACTTCTTGATGTCAATCTCCGTGTTGGTATAAGTAACCATCTCATTGATCATTTCATGAGAAATTAACAGGAGAAATAATTCTCTGGTGTCTGTTATTTCTTTGGCTACACCTGCAGGTCCAAGGACTACGTGAATCACATTACGAGAAGATGTTCTTGCTCGTGGATTGCGAGGTCTAGTAGACCATTTATAACCGCTCTTTCCATAAAGGTGATTTTTATTGGAACGGATCACAAATGATGACTCAGGCTCCTGCGGCTCCTGCTGATGCTGGATGGACTCAGACTCCAACTGACCTGCATAGGATGTATTATCATCTGAATCTACAAATCTTCGCTTACAAAAGCGCATGCTGACGAAAATCTCATCAGATGACATCGAAACTTCTTCCTCACTTTCATCAGCTCCTACGTGGGCATCTGCTACCATATTATCTTCGTTTTCGGATTCCGATAGTTCCTCTGCTTCATCGTGGTTAGACTCGATGTCTGAATCACACAACCAACGTCGAATGCGCTCCTCATCTCCTCTCAAATCCATCTAAAAATAAAATTGAAAATCAAAACAATATCTTAAAATGGTCCATGGTTTATTCCACAAAATAATAGTACATTATTCCTATTTTACAATTAATAGGTAAAAAACAGAGTAGCGTAAAATATAATAAAAGTAATCTTGAAAATAGAAAAATATTATAACTAAAAATAATGTTACACAGTCACTAACTTTTCGTCTGTCAGACGACGCGACGACTGTATGTCATGTTCCAAAGCGAGTGCGACCGCCACAAGTGCACACGGGTCACTAACAGGACCAATCAGGAAGGTACTGAGCGGGGGGAGGGAGTGCGGGTGCCGCGAACCTACCGAACTATGAAATGTGGGGGTATGCGTAGTCTGAGAGACGAATGGTTAGTGATCTAGGGTTAATTATATATGGGTGCTGAGTGACGATATGACGATGTGAGACATGTGAGTGGAGGCACATTGGCCACGAAGACGTAACGAGAAAGAGTCCTACCACCTAGTCCATTAAATCCGAAAATAAAACATGATTTTAAATTTAAAAGTATGTTTTATTATCATATTTATTAAAAATTTGATTTTCATTTATTTAAGCGACTAACACCTAAATTGTGTTTATTGTTTAATAAATTAAAGGGTCAAGCTATCTAACTTTATATCGTGGTATAAGTGAGTTACATTTTACAACCTTAATGCATGATTTAGAAATTTAATATAAAAAATTTTATAAATTTAAAAAAATGTTAATTTGTTAAATAAAATAAGAAAATATTTATTTAATTTTTTTAAAAGACCAAAAAATTACAGTAGTCGAATGGCGAATTTGAACCGACAACCTTTGGAGTTCGCGGTCTACATTGTATTCTATCTCATTCTCTCGCAAGCTATGTCCTATTGATATATAGTTTACTATATATCGATAGGAAATAGCTTATATATATAGATTATAGTTTACTTAATAATTATATATATATATATATATATATATATATATATATATATATATATATATATATATATAATCTAAAAAATATATAGTATCAGTATATATATATATATATAAAAATATATAAACAGGATATTAAATATTTATAAAACAAATATCGATTCACAACTTCGTTGGTTTTTAACGAAAAGTCCTTGCGTTATGACATAATTTTTTTTACCTGATTTAAGTCAAGAAAGTTATGCATTAAGTAATAGATTTTTCAATAAGGGCGGGTAGATGTTAAAATGAAATGAAACAAGGAGGTATTAAAAAAACTTTTTCTTTTATTTGTAACGCCCACATGATGTGCTATTAAGTGTAGACAATGGCATCGTTCAAATGCCCGCCGCGGCTTCTTTACAGTGGCATGGATTAGGGTTACCAGATGGTCGGGATTCGTCTGGATTCTCCCGACATTTCAAATGACTCCCGACAAAACACAAAATCTCCCGACAATCAGCTCCTCGGAAAGTTCTATAGAAAATAATAATTTTTAAATTGCCGCCCACTATCACGTTCACTCCATTTTCGAACGGAACGTTGGCGTTGGACTTAGCCCCGGCCCATGTTAAGCGGAGGCTGGGGGCGGGTGGCGTGGAATGGAATGGTGGATCCACAGAAATCGTAATAATACAAGAATATTGGCTTAAGGAAATTATTGACACTAAACTCAAATAGATATTTTTTTGTATTTTATTTGCGTTATTTATTTATGATTTCAATTTTAAAGCATGTCATATTGTCGAACGATCTTATGGTAGCTCAATTTTAGTACCTACGCATGTATTAATATTTACTTACAGAATTTATTTGATCGACAACGATTGATTGTTGAATTTACCTGTATTTCTTTTTTTGTTGAAAACTGGTCCGTTATCGTCTGTTCTTACATAATAAATTATTGATAATTAAAATTTAATTATTATCAAAAATCATTAATAGATAATATTTTATTTATTTAGGTTTTTGAAAAATTCAAAAACTTTTATTTCTATGGCTTGGTGGTATTTGGGTGTATTTGGCATGGTGTAATGTGACTTGTTGGTGTGGCGTTAGCGGTAATGCCGTTTTGTTTTAGACAATTTCGGCATCTAAATCACCAGAAAAGATAGACAAGGAGGCTGGAACTGGGCCACCTAAAAACAAAAGTTTTATACAGTTTATTATAATACGAGTAACTGGTAAAATCATCCAGACTACTCCAAGTGGATACAAAAAAGAGATGATTTTACCGTTGTATGTAAATTGTGTCAAACTAATATTTCAATCAAGTATGAGTCGTGGTCGGGGAGTCCTGGTTAAAAAAAAACATAAGCAGACAAAAAAACATAGTAAACTGGAATCGTCACAGAAAGTATCAGAAAAATAGCGATGAGGGAAATGAGATATCAAAAGCTGAAATTAATGCTTCTATTTCACAACGTAACTCATGGTATAAGTTATAACAGCCTCGATTGCCAGATGAAACTAGCTTCAACTGTGTATTCTGATAGCAAAATTTCTGCTAAAATATCTTGTGGATGCACTGTGCAATGTGCTCGCCACATATGCACAGGAACAAGTCGTTACTGAACTTAAGGATGCTGAGTATTTTTCGGTAGAAAGCGAGGCTTCTAATGATGGAAACATCAGAACCTAAACTTACGCTGTGCAATTTTTTTATACAGAGACAAGAATATCTAAAAAGCTGCTAGATTTTTATGAGCATCCATTTGAATCGTCAAAAGATATATATAAAAAAATCAAAACAGTGACAGAAGATAATGAATTAAAATTGACTTAGTTGACTGTGTACAGCGTGGATAACGCTTCGGTAAATTATAATGTAAATAATTCGGTGTTCCAAAAATTAAAAGAGACAAACGAACATCTGATTAAAGAAAACTGTAACTGCCATGTTATTAACAATTGCGTCAAATACGCCCACAAAGATTTGTCAGTAGATATCGAGAGCATCGTGATAAAAACATTCAATGAGTTCAGTTCATCTACAAAAACTGAGAAACTAAAATAATGTTTCTTATTTACAAGTGTCAATTACAAACTCTTCTTCGTCATGTCCCAACAAGATTGGTGTCTCTTTTGCCTGCTTTAGATCGTTTAATATATAAATGGCCAGCTCTAAAGCAATATTTTTTATTGAAAAGGGAAGACGAATGTCGAAAGGAGATATGGGAGTTTGTAACCAGAAATATAACCCATATTGATAATAGTGAAGTAGTTGAAGAATGAAAACAGGACGGAATTTCAGAAGCGTATTTATACTTTGTACACAACGTAATTTTGGAGTTCCAAGCAACAATTTTAGCATTGGAAAGCGATGCATGCACTGTCTTACAAATTGAAAGTGTAATGAAAAAACTGATAAGTCATCTTAAAAACAGGTTCGACGATAAATTCTTTGGTAGTAGAAAGAGAACCTTAGAAATATTTCGGATAGTGAGAAAAACCTTTTTTTGCGTCGAAGCTGTTTTTAAAACGAGCTATTCAATATTTGCATGAACGCTATGATTTTTCTGAGAACTCTTTATAAAAAACTCGCTATATTGTCTCTAAAAAGTGAAAATTTGTTTACGTGGGAAGAGTTATCCGCATTGCCCAAAATTCTCAATATTTCAAACGATATTGACCAAGATTATTTATATACTGATTACTGTTGTCTTCGAGAAATATTTGAACATCTTCCGCAAGGCAAAGACATGTCAAATAATAAAATTTGGGCATATTTTTTTTAAATGCAACCAAAAAGCAATCAAAAATTAAAAAAAGTTATATCATTTGTGTTGTCAATTCCTGTAAGCAATGTTTACTGTGAAAGCGTGTTTAGTTAACTAAATAATTTATATACCAAAGAGAGAAATCGTATGGCTATTGACTTAATAAAAGCAGAGGTATTAACTAAACTGAACTTTGACGAAAATTGTTAAATTTTAAATCTTTTCTGAATTCCACTAAAGGATCCAAATAGGTGGATTCAGTAAAGTCCAATGCCTAATACCTGTGGCAACCCCAAAATTAAGTGTAGTTACATTAATTATCCGGTAACAATATTAAGTATATTTGTAGCCCATTAATTTAAAAAATAATATTTTTATTTTACATTTATATTTTTAACAACCACAAAATCCCGACATTTTCAAATTTTATCCCGATATTTTGGTCTTCCGATCTGACAACCCTAGCATGGATCCAAGTGGTCCAATTTTCAATGACTCTTCTGCATTGATCCGGAGGAATTTGAGCGATGACCTATGTTACATTCAGCTTTAGGGAATCGGTCGATTGTAATTTGTTTGCATAGACCGCCACTGAGATTCTATACCCAACTTCGGATTGCATCGTAGGAAAGGTGAGATCATCATATATCAAATAAATTGTGTAATGTAATAAATTGATGGGCTTGATTTAATTTTTTTTTTCTTTTTAGAGTATATAAATAAAATCTTGTTTTTAAAAATGTTTTTTACTGTTAATTTGTATCGAATACATTTCCGAAACCAATACCGTAAGCAAAGTATCCAATTGCAATATGCATTCGAACTTGAAAATGCATTTGAAAGCATTTGTGGAATGATTCAGATTTTAACATTTTATTTGCCAAATAGCTCCACTGCTAATGTTTATCCGTGGCATGGTTATGTGACTCACGTTCTCAAAATTGATTAAGAAAATATGAGAAACCACAACTTTCATCCTGTGAATGTTGTAAGAGGAGACAAAGGAAAACTGAAACAGTAAATAACAATTCAAAATATTAATAAAAAAAAAACTACATTTGCCCACCCAACAACTCAGCTCGGAAGTCGTGAGGCAATCTTACTAGGTGACAGGACCCTATTTGATGTTTTAGATTTTATATTTCTGCGAGGAGTCCGTGTGAGTCTGCACCACTATCTATTCCTACCACCCAATAGACTGCTATTGGGTGGCAGGAATAGATAGGACAGAGGCTTGCTCTACTGTGTTGTGGTAAGGCATTCTATCTTAGTCCTCAGAGCTGACAACGTTTTTTTTTAAATTTATTAAGG